ATTTACTCAAGTGGGTGGGGTGGGGGTGGGCACTTGTTTGAGTTTGATTGGGAGGAGGAGGGGGTGGGCGCTTATTCGAGGCTGGGCGCTTATTAACTTTTTCTGCCTTTAGGATGGGCGCTTATTCGAGGTGGGCGCTAATTCGAGGTTGGGCACTTATTCGAATAAATACGGTAATAAGCACCCCCTCTACGCTATTAAAATTGTATTAGACGCCCCTCTCTAATAAACGCTCCCTGTCTAATAGACTATGAGAATTACTCCGAAATACAAGGAATTGGAAAAAGGAGCAAAATCATTCAGTTCATTCAGTTCCTTGCTTGATTAACGAGGCTTTGAGTATTTCTTATCCTTTTCAATGTTAAGTTCAATGCTAAGTCAGTAGGTTTTTCATTTAGAGACGCTTTGTGGTTTTCGCAGTGATTTTCTTTAAGCGAAGTTTTATGAGATCAATATTATAATTCGACCTTCTTGCTATTTTCATCGTCAAGTGTAATGATTCTGTTAGCTTTTCTTTCTTCTTTCCTTGTTTTCTTTTTTCTTTGTTAAGGACCAAATAGCTTCTTTTCAATTAAAGGAAATTGTTGTGTTTTTGAACTAAGTGTTCCGTGTGTTACTCTAAAATCGAGATTTCTTATTTTAAGAAAAAAAATTGAAACAAATCATAGAATAAGATTTTGTTCTCGTAAATTCAAATCTACCTGTTTAAATTACAGAGAAAAGAGTTCTTATCCTATGATTTGTTCTAAATTATCGTAAAATAAGAAAATGTTTTCTTAAATTAAGAGATTCGGAGCAATCTCGATTTTAGAGTGTGTGCATTTATTTCATTGCGTGATTGCGACCGAGTTTGATTATTGAATTACAACCGGTTCAGAGTTATTCACTACTGCAAGCAGTCGATAGTTTGAACGTTTAACATGAATTACGATCGAAAAGAGTAAAGCAATTCTGTATCCTGTGGACATTTCCACAAGATATTTCCTCGTTTGCCACTTGAAAATCGTGTTTTACTTTTTGCATGAATTAAAGCAAAGTAGTAGTGACGTCACTGGACGGCACTGACGGCCGGTCGATTCAGACGTCACTGAGGGAGCTAATCTGAACGACTCGAAGTAATCGGATGAAATTCGGGCTAATAAAAAGGCTCCTCACAAAACAAAAACAAACAAACAAAATAATAATAATAATAAACAGTAGGACACTGGGCCTATACATTACTTACTCTTTTCTCAAGTTTGATTCTTGGCAGGTGGTCAAACTATCAAAAAATTATGTCCTTATTAATTTTCTGGGCGCTTATTGTTGTAGGCAACTCGTGTTGATAATCATGTTTTCGTAGTGCCGCTAGCCTGAGATACCTATTATCCTTCTATGTCTAGAGATAGTTATGTACCCTCAACTGAACGACACACGATCCATCAGTAAAAGTAGCAAATAAAGATCATAAACGAAAGGACAGCATTTTTTTAGTGTAACCGCCATTTTATTTTTTATTTTAATTAATTTATTTTCAATCTAAAGCATGCTTCATTTGACCAACAATTCTCATTACAAGAATTGCGCACTCCTTCCTTGCCCAAAATCGTTAGTTTTGATTTTTAATATGTCGTATTAAATGGCATTACAACAAAGTGCTCTGCTCTTTGACTTTTGGGACGCAAGTCACCTAATTTGCTTTTTCTTGCAAAGGATAACTGGAGCGTGCTGCCAATGACGTGTAACATCGCAAGGTAAGTCGTTCCACTTGCCTCCTGCGCCTTTTGCCGAGCCAAACATGTTTCCACACTTTTCGCTCACGTTGTCTGGCTGGCGGCTTGCCCAAGCCGTGTAACCTTTCGCCAGTGGAGTGTCATTAATCCAGTAGAACTTGTTATCCGCCTTCCGGACAAAACCAAGCCACACACCCCAATCGGTGATGGTTTTCTGTTTCTTGAGCAAGGTGAATATGAAGTTATTCTCAGCAGCTGATTTTATTATAGCGAGGTCTCCTCCAAGCATCTGACAAGTTCGTCGAGCATCGCTCCATTTTAGGGTTCGAATGTCGATGATGAGGTAGCCGAAGTTGCCGTAGTAAACCCAACCATCTTGCGAACAAACTGAAAGGAAGAAAAATTTCCAGTTGATTAATAAGCCTCAAACATTAAGTCGCACTATTACTAAACCTCACACAATTAGTCGCTCTTTTTAATTAACTGAAAGTTTGATTCAATTGCAAAAAATTTATACCTTTAGCGCTTGTCGATTTCTGGTACAGGTAATCAATTTTGTATTTCATCTCGGTTAGCACTTTTCGATCAGGTTTTCCTAGTCCCCAGTTGTTGATGTTAAATGTTTGATCGATCGGTTGAGGCTTTTTGTGAGCTGTAAGCGCCGGTGATTTGCTGGAGTCGAAACTTTTGGGTTTTCCATTGGTGAAACTGCTTGAAACAAGGATAAAAACAATGACGATGATACTTGATTTTCCAAACATGGTTGAAGTCCTCTCAGGTCCAAAAAAGTATGTAGCCCGCCCCTCGAGAAATGAAAGTTTTTGTTGAGTTAGTCCACTTGATGAATCATCAGTATCTCCAGGCTATCTTCAGGCGCATTGCGGCTGACGTATCACATGCAGTCTGTTAAACAAGAACAAATTTCTCGTCGCAGTTTATCAAAATAATGATCATAATAAGAGAAAATTTAATAAGTTATGGCTATTTGAGTCAGTGGTAGACAATTGGTTTAATATGATCTAATATGAAAAAGATATTGTAATGTGTCGGGGCAGTAAATTTCTCACATCTTGTGCTAAAAGTCCAAGAAATTGCCACGATTATCACAATAAATCAATTTTTAAAAGTTTCCTTTGCCTCTAATAATGATCCATTGTTAGTATTTTTAGAAAAGAACGACTTTAACACTTAGTCATAGATTCGATGCCCAAAATACTGTTCAGTAGTGTTCAACACATCGATCAAAAAAGTGAGAGACATCTATCAAATCTAACGGTTTGTCATTCTTCGCATTGAAGTTGGGTTGCTGTTTTGCATTCAGTAGTTGTGTACAGATTAACTACAAAGCGGTCATTCAGGGAAGACCGCATAAATTAAACTCGCATCGTTAGGTATAATAAGAAAGTCGATCCGTTGAGTCTTATGAATGTAACATGCATTATTTTCTGTTATTGTTTTTACCTGTTGGGTACTGATGTAAAAAAGGATAAAAGCTTACTGCAAGGGAAAAATTTGGCAAGCGGCAGTGATTGAAGTGATGTGTGTATCGAGCAACCCATGCAAATGTCACAATTCGCCTCTCATGCCCTGAAGTATAAAAAAGGCTGAATATTTTTGCATTGTAAAAATCTATTCATTCAGGGCAATACCAAAATGGACCGACAGCCTGACTCTATTTTTCGTGGGGTGGGCGCTTATTCGAGGCTGGGCGCTTATTAACTTTTTCTGCCTTTAGGATGGGCGCTTATTCGAGGTGGGCGCTAATTCGAGGTTGGGCACTTATTCGAATAAATACGGTAATAAGCACCCCCTCTACGCTATTAAAATTGTATTAGACGCCCCTCTCTAATAAACGCTCCCTGTCTAATAGACTATGAGAATTACTCCGAAATACAAGGAATTGGAAAAAGGAGCAAAATCATTCAGTTCATTCAGTTCCTTGCTTGATTAACGAGGCTTTGAGTATTTCTTATCCTTTTCAATGTTAAGTTCAATGCTAAGTCAGTAGGTTTTTCATTTAGAGACGCTTTGTGGTTTTCGCAGTGATTTTCTTTAAGCGAAGTTTTATGAGATCAATATTATAATTCGACCTTCTTGCTATTTTCATCGTCAAGTGTAATGATTCTGTTAGCTTTTCTTTCTTCTTTCCTTGTTTTCTTTTTTCTTTGTTAAGGACCAAATAGCTTCTTTTCAATTAAAGGAAATTGTTGTGTTTTTGAACTAAGTGTTCCGTGTGTTACTCTAAAATCGAGATTTCTTATTTTAAGAAAAAAAATTGAAACAAATCATAGAATAAGATTTTGTTCTCGTAAATTCAAATCTACCTGTTTAAATTACAGAGAAAAGAGTTCTTATCCTATGATTTGTTCTAAATTATCGTAAAATAAGAAAATGTTTTCTTAAATTAAGAGATTCGGAGCAATCTCGATTTTAGAGTGTGTGCATTTATTTCATTGCGTGATTGCGACCGAGTTTGATTATTGAATTACAACCGGTTCAGAGTTATTCACTACTGCAAGCAGTCGATAGTTTGAACGTTTAACATGAATTACGATCGAAAAGAGTAAAGCAATTCTGTATCCTGTGGACATTTCCACAAGATATTTCCTCGTTTGCCACTTGAAAATCGTGTTTTACTTTTTGCATGAATTAAAGCAAAGTAGTAGTGACGTCACTGGACGGCACTGACGGCCGGTCGATTCAGACGTCACTGAGGGAGCTAATCTGAACGACTCGAAGTAATCGGATGAAATTCGGGCTAATAAAAAGGCTCCTCACAAAACAAAAACAAACAAACAAAATAATAATAATAATAAACAGTAGGACACTGGGCCTATACATTACTTACTCTTTTCTCAAGTTTGATTCTTGGCAGGTGGTCAAACTATCAAAAAATTATGTCCTTATTAATTTTCTGGGCGCTTATTGTTGTAGGCAACTCGTGTTGATAATCATGTTTTCGTAGTGCCGCTAGCCTGAGATACCTATTATCCTTCTATGTCTAGAGATAGTTATGTACCCTCAACTGAACGACACACGATCCATCAGTAAAAGTAGCAAATAAAGATCATAAACGAAAGGACAGCATTTTTTTAGTGTAACCGCCATTTTATTTTTTATTTTAATTAATTTATTTTCAATCTAAAGCATGCTTCATTTGACCAACAATTCTCATTACAAGAATTGCGCACTCCTTCCTTGCCCAAAATCGTTAGTTTTGATTTTTAATATGTCGTATTAAATGGCATTACAACAAAGTGCTCTGCTCTTTGACTTTTGGGACGCAAGTCACCTAATTTGCTTTTTCTTGCAAAGGATAACTGGAGCGTGCTGCCAATGACGTGTAACATCGCAAGGTAAGTCGTTCCACTTGCCTCCTGCGCCTTTTGCCGAGCCAAACATGTTTCCACACTTTTCGCTCACGTTGTCTGGCTGGCGGCTTGCCCAAGCCGTGTAACCTTTCGCCAGTGGAGTGTCATTAATCCAGTAGAACTTGTTATCCGCCTTCCGGACAAAACCAAGCCACACACCCCAATCGGTGATGGTTTTCTGTTTCTTGAGCAAGGTGAATATGAAGTTATTCTCAGCAGCTGATTTTATTATAGCGAGGTCTCCTCCAAGCATCTGACAAGTTCGTCGAGCATCGCTCCATTTTAGGGTTCGAATGTCGATGATGAGGTAGCCGAAGTTGCCGTAGTAAACCCAACCATCTTGCGAACAAACTGAAAGGAAGAAAAATTTCCAGTTGATTAATAAGCCTCAAACATTAAGTCGCACTATTACTAAACCTCACACAATTAGTCGCTCTTTTTAATTAACTGAAAGTTTGATTCAATTGCAAAAAATTTATACCTTTAGCGCTTGTCGATTTCTGGTACAGGTAATCAATTTTGTATTTCATCTCGGTTAGCACTTTTCGATCAGGTTTTCCTAGTCCCCAGTTGTTGATGTTAAATGTTTGATCGATCGGTTGAGGCTTTTTGTGAGCTGTAAGCGCCGGTGATTTGCTGGAGTCGAAACTTTTGGGTTTTCCATTGGTGAAACTGCTTGAAACAAGGATAAAAACAATGACGATGATACTTGATTTTCCAAACATGGTTGAAGTCCTCTCAGGTCCAAAAAAGTATGTAGCCCGCCCCTCGAGAAATGAAAGTTTTTGTTGAGTTAGTCCACTTGATGAATCATCAGTATCTCCAGGCTATCTTCAGGCGCATTGCGGCTGACGTATCACATGCAGTCTGTTAAACAAGAACAAATTTCTCGTCGCAGTTTATCAAAATAATGATCATAATAAGAGAAAATTTAATAAGTTATGGCTATTTGAGTCAGTGGTAGACAATTGGTTTAATATGATCTAATATGAAAAAGATATTGTAATGTGTCGGGGCAGTAAATTTCTCACATCTTGTGCTAAAAGTCCAAGAAATTGCCACGATTATCACAATAAATCAATTTTTAAAAGTTTCCTTTGCCTCTAATAATGATCCATTGTTAGTATTTTTAGAAAAGAACGACTTTAACACTTAGTCATAGATTCGATGCCCAAAATACTGTTCAGTAGTGTTCAACACATCGATCAAAAAAGTGAGAGACATCTATCAAATCTAACGGTTTGTCATTCTTCGCATTGAAGTTGGGTTGCTGTTTTGCATTCAGTAGTTGTGTACAGATTAACTACAAAGCGGTCATTCAGGGAAGACCGCATAAATTAAACTCGCATCGTTAGGTATAATAAGAAAGTCGATCCGTTGAGTCTTATGAATGTAACATGCATTATTTTCTGTTATTGTTTTTACCTGTTGGGTACTGATGTAAAAAAGGATAAAAGCTTACTGCAAGGGAAAAATTTGGCAAGCGGCAGTGATTGAAGTGATGTGTGTATCGAGCAACCCATGCAAATGTCACAATTCGCCTCTCATGCCCTGAAGTATAAAAAAGGCTGAATATTTTTGCATTGTAAAAATCTATTCATTCAGGGCAATACCAAAATGGACCGACAGCCTGACTCTATTTTTCGTCGGAGTTAAATTTTACAAGAGAATGAGTGTGATAGGAGAAAAAAAGTATTCTTAATGTTCTCTGAAAGAAATCGAAATAGAAATGAAGTATCTCAATTTCTGTTGTGTTAGTATACTTAACAATTATTCCTCGAGCCCGAATGGGCTCTGAGTCAATAGCCCATGAGGCTGACTCAGAGGCCATGAGGGCGAGAGGAATAATTGTTTTAGTAAAATCTAACTTGTTGGTCAAAAATATCGAGAACAAAAAAAATTTTAGCTAGTTAAAGCTAGACTTTAATCCTTTGTTGCTGCCAAAAAGCCCGCGCTTTTCGCTACTAGTAGGCTATAACATATAGCCTAGTGGTAGCTCAACCAATCAGAACCCAGCATTGATAATAGACCACTAGTTGGATGTTACTAATTTTTGTTATTCCACCTTTTTGGCGAGTCATAAATTACTCTAGTCGCACTTCCAGTTATAGATTGCCTCTCTTATTTTGTTTATATTTAAAGCTGTTCATTTTTAAATTTTAAAATCAAAACGGTTATGAAAGCCTCTGCGAAGCAAAAAGACAACAAAAATACTGGGCAAGTCTTTCGTTTCTTATGAGGTATACTCCGTTCAATTGTGCTATTTAGACACTCAAAGAAGCTCGAGAGGTCGATAGGTTCATCGACAGTTCGTCCAATGCTAGATTGTCCACATTTCCCGCGCAAAGTACCTTTTTAACCGTACAATAAGTGCTTAATGAAAATGCAATCAAGATTTGATATCGTTCAAATGTAATATATTTAAAGTGATAATAGTACAAAATTGCACGAGAGATTGTTGTTACAATAACAAGAAATTGTATCAAGTGGAAAATGTCGGAGTTAGCCGGCGTGAGAGTCGACTTCTTCACCATCCACTCCCCTTTTTCCATCTTCCCTTTTAACAGTTTGAAAGACGCTGGTGTGTTTACGCCTGATTACGGGCTCAATAATGTGAATTGAGCCAGAAAAAGTTTATTCACGATACATTCACCACATTCACACATGCCATAATGTACCTTGTTTACCCTACAAAATTTTGCATAACCAGTTTCTTGGGTTTCTCTTGGGATAACTATAATACCCTGGAACTGAAAACAATCGTTATGCAAAAAACAAGGTGCACAAAACAAGGTGCATTGTGGTCTACGTGGCGAATTAGCCCAATACTGTTATTAGATAGTCTGTTCCAGGCGTTCAGATCGTGCAGACAGAACACTAAGGCGTAGCTGCTGGGGGTTTTATGGTGACAGTCGAACAAGCCTCTTCCCTCCTCCCCAGTCAAGAAATCTACAAGTATTGCAGACAAAAAAACTTGTCCATTGCGAAAAACAAATAAACAAACAATCATGATGTAACTTATTTCTTAGTTAAGTAATTGACTGAGAGAAGATATAGGATATACCTTGTATGATTTTTAAAAAGAAAAGAAAGATCATTTTTCTCAAGTTTGATTTCGAAAGGCGTTTTCTTTTAGGCATGAAATTTGTCACCTTAGTTTATGAGACTTGGTGACTTCTCTATAAAGCTTCATCAGTGATTCTCGCAGTGATAATTTAGTAAAACGGTAATAGGAAGCTGAAATAATGATTAGCTTTTAAACCAAGTGCAGTGAATACAAGTCGTGAATGTCGTATCTTTTGTATCGAACTGAGTAGGGTCTTTCCTATAATGAGTATCTCTTGTAGCTAATTTTTTATCTCAGGTAGTTTTTGTTTTTCTTTTGTTTCTGGGTATGGTAATTTATGCTTAGAAAGTTGAAACAAAAGAAAAATATTAATTACCTTAGATAAAGAATTAACTACAACATATCCATTCTCGGTGAAAATAGATCGTCTGTAGCCTGCGTGGCAGGATTTTTATCGGTAAACATTGTAGAATATTGCACATTGTAAAAGCGAATCAAGTTCGACGTCTGAATCAACCATCGAACTTTTATCGTTTGGGTCGAGCCAAATAGCTATCAAGTTCGGCTCATGAAAAGTTCGGCATTTGAACTGGTCCTAAGCCCTCTTTGTCCCCAGCTCCCGTGCGTTTTCGCGTTTTCTTGGAGAAGCCGGAAACAGGCTACTATATCCAACCCCCTCCCTTTTTCCTTTTCCCCCCATCCCTTTCGTTCCTTTCCTCGGAGGCTAACATAAATAGACCATATGGCAGTAGATTCACTAAATATTAAGAGTAGCAGCACCTAAATATGGAACCAAAATATAACAATGGCAAGGGATGCATCGATGAAAACACGCAAGAAGACCTCAGCAAATGTTTTACTACATGTGAACGCGAATAGAGTAAATTCCTTCAAAGTGCGAAAAAAATGAACGTTACAATACAGACATAAACAACCTAAACACGACCACAAAACGAAATGCAAGGAAACGAGAAAAAGCGAGGCTGCTTACCAAACACTGAGGACGTTTACAACGTTTGGAGTTCGGGGAAACGAGAAAAAACTAACATAGATTAACGAACACTAAAGACACGTTAAAAACACTGCCTTAAAAAGGGCGAGATAACAAAATATATACGACCAAATTTACATACGGCGCGAATAAGAAAGGAGCATAATTAGCAAAATATACCAGAGTGAGGAAAAAAAAAACGAAACACGATAGCGAGTAAGTGCAAGTAAAAACGAAAAGCAAAAGGAACATTTTGCCATAACACCTTTTTTACCTTGAACAGGAGTAACCAATACTTAATTTCTCTTCTTTATTGCCCTTTATTATCTTATCAGTCTAATATAAGAAGTCATTTCATCTTAATTTGAATATTTCATGTTTATACTAGACTTTGAATCTTACACTGCCTTATGGACGTAAGCCATTTAGTTATTTTTTTTTCTCTTGCAAAGAATAACAGGGGAAGACGTGAAATACGATGGACTGTTATCACAGTATACGTCGTCCCATTTGCCCGCTCGGCCTCCTGTACCATACATGTGCGCGCACTTTTGGCTAACGCTATCAGGTTTTCCTGTTAACCAAGCCGTGTATCCGTTCGCCATAGGAGTGTCATCAATCCAGTAGAACTTAGTGTCGGCTTTCCGAACCAAACCGAGCCAAACACCCCAATTTGTGATTGTTTTCTGTTTTTTGATCAAGTCAAATATAAAGTTATTCTCAGCAGCGGATCTTACGATAGCAAGGTCTCCTCCAAGTATCTCACATGTTCGTCTAGCATCGCTCCATTTCAGAGTTGGAATGTCGATGACGAGGTAACTGAAGTTTCCGTAGTGAACCCATCCGTCTTGCGGACAAACTGAAAATTATTGGGTCATATTATAGATTATTCAGTTTATAGCGATAACACAATAAGCCTCGTGAGTATCAGCTACTGCCCGAATTGAAAAACTAAAAGCACACGGCTAATGATCGAGAATCAAATATTGCCTAGAATTTTCTATTACTTGAGGACGACTAAAAATTGCTATTTAACTATTCCATTAATGTACAATTTTCAAAGCTTATCTAATAAATCCCCTACGATTTTCTAAAGTTTAATTTTCACATTTTACTTCCCACGTTAGGCTATTTTTCTGAGAAAAAAAGAAACCTAAAATTTTCGGATTCAAAAATGGGATGGAGAGAGTATAATCAGAAAATGTCTCACTTTCGTAATAAGTCAAATTGCATCTAAAATTTTCGGGAAAATTATACTCAAGCCCTTATAATTTCGAAAAGACTCTAGTTGCCCTTGGGATGACCGAACAGATACAAATTTTATAGCGTCACTTCAGTAGAATAAATTTCTACAGCTCTAAAAGTACTCTGGATAGCCTAAAAAGTGTTTTCAATGTATATAGGAAAAAACTGTCTTTGGGTGCCCCTGATGCAAGAAAATGATTTACCTGATTTTTCATACAGGGAGTCGACTTTGTATTTGATCTCACTCAAAATTTTTCGATCAGCGTCTTCGAAACCCCAGTTGTTGATATTAAAGGTTTGAACCATCGGATGACGTGGTTTATTACTTGTGAGCGACGCTGTGTTGGAAACGGCACTTTTAGGTTTGATCTGTGCAATGATTAAAGCAATCAAGCGGACGAAATTCCATTTTCGATTCATGGTTGATTTCTTTCTCGGATCCAACGAAGAGGTCGTCGCCTTTAAGTGAAAATCCCAAGGAATACACTAGTCTCTAAAGATGATCCCTGACGTACTGATCAGTCCACTTAGCCATGTGTGTATCACACAACCCATGCGAATGTCACAATTCGCCTCTCGTGCCCTAAAAAAAGGCCGCATGTTTTGATAGTAAAACATGAAATACCACGAGACACAAGGTAACTCTAAGATTTTACTGTCGCGACTGCCAAACTTGTATTTGATAAACCTGCATATGCGCGGACCAGTGCTAGTGGCATAACAGGCATACGAATCACGAAATTGACGAAGAAAGAGCCAAACCAAACTTTTGGCCAGAGTAAATTTTGACCAAAAAGAACGGGGTTGGCAATAATGTTTCTCGTCACATTGAGTAAATAATTGCCAGTCTTGAAAATGATGTCGCCATCGCTAAAGAGAAACTATCTGGAACAGCCGAACGAATGATCGCTATGGTTCACGAACTCGAGCGGGGTGGTAATAATAACCGCCCTTAAAGAACACGCGTGCTCCCAGAATAAAAGAAATAGATGGTGTAAAGAAAAAGTCCCAGTTTTTAGCGAAGCAGATGAAGAAAGCAGCAGAGTTTTGCGAATGAACTGTCAAGGCTTGGAGTTCATCCTCAGATGTGGGATGAGAAGCAGAGTGAATTTAGACAATTCTAACTTGAAGATGATTTTTTTAGCGGAGCTCTCGCGCGCGACGCGCGCGCAGCGGGGCACAATGGGTAAAAAAATATGGTAAGCTACCCATCCGAGAAAATTTGGTAAGCACGTGACCGTACACCGACCGCCCGACCGTCCGTCCGCACCACAGGCATACCAATGTAAAATAATTCAATCAACAGGTATGGCAACCCAAATGCAACTCGAGGTTTTGTTTGGAAAGAAATCGCATGGCCGCCCGGACTTTTGGAAGGAAAAAGCAACAGCAAAAAACTCGTGTCTTTTTCGATGTTATTTTTGATGTTTACACTCACGTGGATAACAGTGAAAGAGCTAGAGCGAGTAATTGAAAACAAAAGAGACGAATTTTGTAGGAAGTAAAACAGGAAAATTCAAAGCAGCTGTGAGACAATGAGAAATGCTAGCGGCCAGCAAGGTAAAAATGAGCGGCAGTGAAAAATAAAAGCGAACATGAACACAGGAGACAAAATATTGGGTAAGCATATACAACAATTCCTCCATAAAAATAATGTGTAACCACAGGTAACCCAGGCTCTGTGATAATAGCACAGTACGGTTCCAGTAAAATTACAGTGTTTGTATGGGGTAAAAATACCATCCTAAAATTTCTAGGAAATGCTAAATAAAGATCAATGAAACTTACTCTGCAGTTAATTGTTGTTGTCCTTATTGCTCCAACGAATTTTCGTGATAATTAGCAGTAATTTGTTCAAATTCACTCTGTATACAATAATAATATCAGTAATACACAAGGTAGGAAACACGAGATGCCATTTTCGCCGACATGCTCTCATTCAACACAACTTTTTCCACGAAATTCGAACTCCAACGGAAAATTAACATGCTAGGATCTTAGAAATAGCATAGCAGCAGATATAGAAACCAATGAAGCTTTCCCAGATAGAGAAACGAATCCCACAGACTTTGACAAACTCGAAGGATATAATCCAAACAGACTGAGAATATGCTCGCCGAAGCAGCCGGGCCAGATCAACGCGCGGCCAAGAAAATGAGGCCTGGGCACTGTACAAAAAAATTCCATCCCGGGAGTCCTGGGGTGACCTTTCTGGGGACCGATACATCATTTGCCCAAAGCCCCCCTCTCCTGCTGAAAAAATACTTGATAGAAGGCAATTGTTCTTCCTAGCCAATCACAATTCGCCAGAGCAAACCCCGCACACGCGCCTAAATTTAAATGGCCAAAGAGAATAAATAAAACCAGGATAGTCTGCCGAGTTACAAGGCGCCCTATTTCTTTTACTGAGGAATGCAAATAACTGTAATAAAACTAATGAAATAACAACGCGAAATAGTTACAAGGCGGGCTAAAAACAAGGTTGAACAAAAGGTAGATGATGACTGAGATACTGTTGCTGTGAACTCTCGAGCGAAACTATCGTAAATAAACGGTGAAGCTTACAAAATAATGTCAAAAATTTATTATACAGAAAATTGCGACAGATCGGAATATGAATTGCGATAACTGAGACGAATGTGAAAGGCATGTGCACCAGTAAACAAAGAACTAGCGGGATTAACATATTTAGCGATTAGTGCGGCCGTAACACGCCGACTTCTTGTCAATACAACTGAACGTTCTATCAGTTAGATATGTGAACCATCGTCTCTTTGAATTTCGTCTTGTTGTACAAATGCCGCGGTAAGAGCCAAAATTCACTTATATCTTTTGCTCGTTTTAAGTTTTGTAAATCCTCCTTCGTTGTTATTTCCTTTGCACTTATAACCTTGCTCCATTGATGTTTGATAGGCTTTCTGAGGACCAGCGCCAGGTGCTGAATATAGTTCCAGAGGGACATAACATCTTTATAACAGGCCAGGGTGGTACGGCTAGGAAGAACAATTGCCTTCTATCAAGTATTTTTTCAGCAGGAGAGGGGGGCTTTGGGCAAATGATGTATCGGTCCCCAGAAAGGTCACCCCAGGACTCCCGGGATGGAATTTTTTTGTACAGTGCCCAGGCCTCATTTTCTTGGCCGCGCGTTGATCTGGCCCGGCTACTTCGGCGAGCATATTCTCAGTCTGTTTGGATTATATCCTTCGAGTTTGTCAAAGTCTGTGGGATTCGTTTCTCTATCTGGGAAAGCTTCATTGGTTTCTATATCTGCTGCTATGCTATTTCTAAGATCCTAGCATGTTTATTTTCCGTTGGAGTTCAAATTTCGTGGAAAAAGTTGTGTTGAACGAGAGCATGTCGGCGAAAACGGCATCTCGTATTTCCTACCTTGTATATTATTATTGTATATAGAGTGAATTTGAACAAATTACTGCTAATTATCACGAAACTTCGTTGGAGCAATAAGGACAACAACAATTAACTGCAGAGCTAAGTTTCATTGATCTTTATTTAGTATTTCCTAGAAATTTTAGGATGGTATTTTTACCCCATACAAACACTGTAATTTTACTGGAACCGTACTGTGCTACTATCACAGAGCCTGGGTTACCTGTGGTGTAACTAGGAAGTTTGACGTTTTAGTCCTTCAAAACAGCGTTGTAGTTGTGCAAAACAACGGCAAAGAAAGAAAAAAAGCGTGCTGCACGTGCAAATTTGTCTTTTTTTTTGCTAGTTAGAAAAAAAGTGTGCTGCACGTGCAATTTGTTTCTTTGCTAATTAGATCTATTGATCTTGATGCCATTTTCATCGCCCTCTCCGTTTAGCATTACACGATTTAATTTTTTTTGTTTACAAGTATTATGAACCAGAGCTTCGCTTTTATCCCTGGATAAATCTATATATTAATGTTTTTAATGTATAAAACTTAGGGGCGATGGTTGAAATTTTAGAAAACTGGAAAATATTTGATTTGGAAGTTATTGAAAATTTTGAATATAAAGTGAATAATTAGTACGCCATTTTCATGCCGTCAGGACAACCACTTACTGCCTTCGCGAAACTAAGTTATGGGAAGCGAGATTTTGCTACCGTCATCAGCTCTTAACAATCGAAACTAAGAAAAGGATCAATGACAAACCGGCACTTTAATGATACTCTCTTCAAAACTCAGAAAAGAAAGAAAGCCATTCCTCTTTACAACATCAGGACAACAAACTTAAAGGCAAGGAGGAAAGAAGTGAAAGAGGTCCGGTCCAGCTAGGGAGTTTACCCTCTCAATCACACCTGTCCAACAACCTCGCTAACTTTAGCCTTTCTCATTTGCTAACAAAGGAACTGACGGGGGCGCAACCTGGGTAGAGGAAAAGAAAAAAGGGGGGGAATAACTAACCTGATAAGGTTAGGCCTACACACACTTACGTAAACAACAGCTAAACAAAACAACAACAACAAAACATATTGGAAAAGGGAGGGTAAGGCTGCGTGCAAACAGATGCAACATTAGGGCCATTTATACGAGGAAAAATAAGACGCGTCTTAAATAAGGCGCGAACTTTCCGTATAAACGGCACATTTCGTCTAAAATAAGACGCGGCTCAGCTAAGACGCGTCTTATTAGATAAGACATGCTCGTATAAATGGTACAGTTCGCATCTTATTTAAGACGCGTCTTATTTTTCCTCGTATAAATGACCCTATTGTTGACCAACAACTCCCAACATTGTTGGATGTTACATGTTGCGTCCGTTTGCACACCCTGTTGCATGTTATTGGATGTGGTTGCGCAAAGTTTGAAACCGGTCAAACTTTTCAGCCAACAACTCCCAACATTTCTTTTGTTCCCTCATCGCCGAAGCGTGGCGCAACAATGTTGAATCCGTTTGCACAGTTCTTCCAACATTGTTGGGGCCACGCACGCTCATTACCCATGGTTTACAAAGACTTATGGGTTGTATCCTTCCCACGATACACTGCAGGTCCCAACATTGTGGGGAGAGCACCTTTGCCCCATAACAAAAGAAATTGCTATCCACCTTACGGGATCATTACTAAAATAGTTTTCCAGGCCGATTCCTTCAGCGACAACTTGAATAGATTTATGCTGGATTATATGTAACTCGGCACGTGTCGTTACAACTTTCAAGGAAGATTCCTTCGATGGACGACCGCATTTGAAGTCTTTTCATAGTACCTTTATTTTAGATTTCTTGTTTTAGGAAAATAAAAGAAAAACAGTGCGAGAAATACGACAATTTCGTGCATCGCGGCCAGACTTATTTGACAGCTAGTCATTCACAGTTGCGTTATTTTTGTTAGTTTTTAATTAGTAGTCGTTCCCCTCCTCCCTCCTCCCTCGCACGTGGTCTCGCGCCCTAATTCCCTTCCCCTTCCCTTTCGAACCCCTGCCACGCAGGCTAACACCTAACAAATATATCGAACACACTCTCCTAAGCTCCGATTACTCCTAGTTTTAAAAGTGAGGCAGATTCGGTCGGAAGAAATGAGGGGGGAGGGGGGAGAAAAACGTCATGCAGCAAAAACCAAAGGGATTACAGTGCTCTCCAACCCCCCTCCCCCAACGGAAAAAACCTGCACGCCTTGAGAGCACGTTCGTTATGTCGATCACTAGTTTTTAGCTCTCGGTGAAAGGACCCTGGGCGAGGTCTTCTCTGTACCGTAAATGACCTAATAGACGCCGACTCCCAAATAAACGCCTCTTATCTAACGAACGTCCCCTCTACGCTTTTAAAATTGTATTAGACGCCCCTCTCTAATAAACGCCCCCTATGAGAATTACTCCGAAATACAAGGAATTAGAAAAAGGAGCATTCATTGAGTTTCTTACTTGAATAACAAGGCTTTGCATATTTCACCTTGTTCAATGTTAAGTTCAAAGTATGGATAGGCTAACGATGGCAACACATAAGCCCTGAGTGGAGATTCTGACAAATGTTAGGATTTGAAAGAGAGATATGGATCTCTAGACGTATCAAGAGTGGATATTCCGCTACTTTGAAACTCTCTTGATCTTTTCGCCGAAAGCATGTTGAGCTTGTTGAAGTTATGAGACAAAAGGCCTCTCTCTGTTTTAACGCTTCCTATCTATTAAACACCTCCGCTGGGAGCCCTAAAATTAAATGGACGCCACGGGAGTTTATTAGGCCATTTACGGAGCGCATAACAATCCCTCAAGCTACGCAGCCTACTTCGTACAAATAGCAGCGCGTTTGGATGAAAAGGCTCCACAAAAAAAAAAAAAAAAAAA